GTCAATGACAAAAATAAGATTTCATATTAATTAATGAACGGAACAAGAAATTATGCTCGAGTACAAAATTCATGCTAGAGCATGAGAACGGTTTCATGAGTACGGGCCCAGGTCAGAGATAAACAGGTTAAAGCATCCGTCTATAGTCTTATGGCACAAGGTTCGAATCCCAGTCTACCTGATGCATTTTCCCTTTCCTGTTAAATTAAATTTTGCCATATCAAATATACCCACGGAAAGTTGTATAGAATCTTGTGTGTTTTTAGGGTCGAAGACTTGTTGAGGGAACGAGCAATGTAGGAAAACTTGACTGGGTTAACATCAGCGACCAGGTATAGATCAATTGGTAAGAGCGTCCGTCTAAAGTTTGAAGGGACCAGGTTTGAATCTTGGTCTGGCCATTTCATTTTCCCTTTCCAGTTACACTTCGAGTTTCCTTATAACTGAGCTGTTTTTAATTCATGTACAGGATAATGGGAATGATTCTGTTCACTGAGCAGCAAACAATATTTTAACTGTGTAATCGCTATGATAAAAATTTGTTGCATGAATTTTGTTCAGACGTTTTATCATGAACACAGACATACACATCTCAGCCTTTTTCCCTGCTGCCATTAGCTAGGGATGACCTCTCATAATGTAGTTATAATTCTTGTAAGCACCCACGCTCAAGCAACATGTCTGTTTGTCCTCACGACAGATGAAACTAGAACTGTTATCCAGAGACTAACTTAGATTAGCATAAAGGGAACATCTGTCCTACATTAAAAAGAGTTAAAATGAAAACAAAATGAAAAAATTATACCAAGGTACACAAATTCAATATGAAAAGTCAATCAGTCGGAATGAAAAAATACCACCTAGATGCACTACAACATGGGGTTGTTATCATATCTGAAAACTTTGGTTGAAATTGGCCCAGTATCTTATGGGCACTTGTCGGAACAAAGATATTTCAACAAAGGGCCATAACTCAATAAAAAAGTGCAGACTGAAAAAATAATCATTGGATAATCATAATCAACAGCATGGGGTAGTTAACATATCTGTAAAGTTATGCTGAAATTGACTTGATTCTGCAGTAAGTCCAACATTAGTCGCCTCTTACGATAAAACAATGAGAGATAGTGGCAGCATGCCTATTAATTCTTCCCCACCCACCCACAGGGTAACTCACATAAGATTTAAAACAAGTATGATGGGTATACAGTACATTTAAACATGTAGAGTACTTAAAGAACTAAAGACATGTACAGGTCAAGTAATTAAAGTGTACGAGACCAGCTTCTACATCAGGGAACCACTGGTGTACAAAAGTGTAGATTAACATAAAATCGTGATCAACAGAATAAACAGTTTTTATCCGTAGATTTGTTGACACAATCAACTGTCTGGCTGAGTAATCTACATTCAGTCGGTAAACAGTCAAGACCATAATCCATACAATGGATTGAGAAAAGCTTAAGATTTTCAGTGGAGTGACTTTACAAAGGTTCTGTCAGGTTTCAGCCATAGCCACTAGAATCTAAACATGCAAACAACCTGGATTCTTTGTTGGGGGGGTTCTCTCTTTGGGATAAAGGACCCTGTATAAGAAGCAAATAATGCGCAACAAACCCCATTACTCCATCTCTTGCTTCATTTTCCTTTGCAAACCAACCATTTCATCATATCCAATGTGTGGACCTATTTATGTTTATTTTAAATATTGTGTTGATGATCATTTAGTCTTAAATAATTATAATAGAGCAGAAATCAATTTTCCAAAAAGATTCTTAGACGTTATATATATGTAGGTGTGACTTCATTGTCTCTCGGTGTCTGAACATTCCACCACAGCTGTTACTTGCAGCTTCCCTGGGGATTTTATAATCTCCCGGCTATATGGATAGCTACTATTGACCATCAACATTATTAGGCCTTTGGCCCGTCAGCATAATTGCATCAGTTTATTGTATGGATAACTGCATCTGGTAGTGCTTGCAAAAAAACAACCAGTCAGGGCTAAACAATAAGGGTAGCCCGATAGAGGAATCTGCAGAAGCTGTCTTATCAGGCGCTAACTACTGGTCATATGCCACCTGGCTAATATCTCCCTATGTGTGGCCTGCCTGTGTGTGCTGGAGATGCATTGCATTGTGTAACACTTCAACATAATTACACAAGTTTTTGTATGATTAACATGTTCATCTACGTTCAAAATAAAATTTGACAACCATGCAGGGATATATAATTCAAAGTACTAAAAAATTCTACTAGTCTAACCTATATTTTCACAGTAGGTAAATACTAAAAATTGCACTAGCCCAAACATAAAATCTACTACCATCAATGGGCTAGGGAAATTGTATACCCCTGCCATGCATGTATCACTAAAACCATACCACACATATATATAAAACAAAATAATACAGTTAGAAGCATGCGCTGCTGAAGCTTTAATAATCAGAACTTTTCTTGACCTAACTTCGTGAATCCAAGAAGACTTGAGGCAATATCACCATTTTCCCGTTTGTCCATAAATGGTGAACCTGTTCCGTACTGTTGTTCCACTTCAATTTCAGCACATTCTGCTCCATTTTCGACATTATCTACCCCATTTTCTACACATTCTCCTCCATTTTCTATAAATTCTGCTTCTTTTTCTATATTTTCTGTCCCATTCTCTATAATTTCTGCCCCATTCTCTATAAATTTTGCTCCATTCTCTATAAATTCTGCTCCATTTTCTAAAGAATCTACACCACTTCCAACATTTGCTGTTTTTAAAGGTCCATATGAAGGGTAGGGTAAGCAAGGGAGAAAAAGAGGAAAAAGGTTAATAGATCTATATCAATATACACAGGTAAAAGTTTAATAAATCTATATCAATATACACAGGTAAAAGGTTAATAGATCTATATCAATATACACAGGTAATTATAAAAGGTTAATAGATCTATATCAATATACACAGGAAATTATAAAAGGTTAATAGATCTATAGCAATATACACAGGAAATTATAAAAGGTTAATAGATCAATATTAATAAACGCAGGAAAAAGGTTAATTGATAAATATCAATATACACATGAAAAAGGTTAATAGATATATATCAATATACACCGGTAATTATAAAAGGTTAATAGATCTATATAAATATACACAGGAAATTATAAAAGGTTAATAGATCAATATTAATAAACGCAGGAAAAAGGTTAATAGATATATATCAATATACACAAGAAAAAGGTTAATATATCTATATCAATATACACAGGAAAAAAGGTTAATAGATCTATATCAATATGCACAGGTTAAAGGTTAATAGATCTATATCAATATACACAGGAAAAAGATTAATAGATCTATATCAATATACACAGGTAAAAGGTTAATAGATCTATATCAATATACACAGGTAAATGAACATTGAGTGTAGAAGAACAGCGTCAATGAGTAAAAGTTACACATGCAAGATGTTACAAACCCAGAGGTATTGAAATAGGAAACTAAATCATCGAAATTGTGAGGCCACTCTTTGTTTTTATTTTTGTTTTTGTTTTCTTTTAACCCTTACCCTAGGATTTTTGGTGTAAACATTTTGGGAAAAACAGCCTACCGTAAGCAAATATGATCCCAAAAAGTAGCAAAATTTAAAACGAATGACAAAACTCAACGATATGCATATATAAGACGATAATTTCTTCGTTTTTTTTATCTTGCAGTTTTTTATCTTGCAGTGGAAATGTCATGTTATTTATGATAATTATTAATATTAATTTATTACATTGGTATTTCTATAGCTATTGCATAATTGTTGATTTCTATATAATTTATTTTATCTTCCAATTTATATGCAAATGAGATACATACTGCGAATGTGGTAATTATCATACCACGACAACAGACACGAAAAAGATTGTGTTTTAGTCGATATCGAGCTTGTACGAAAAAGAGGTCAAATTTCGCTGAGATCAGACTTCTGCAATGTCCTTGCATATTGTCCGATAGGTCACTTGCCATTCTATATATATATAAATCCCAGCACGAACCCGTCACGGCATCGGTACAAACTGGATATTTATAGCTAAAGCTGACATAAAAAATTATCAACCAGCTACAATTATACCAAGACACCTCTTCGTAAAACAGGAAGTGGATTGCTCAACCAAACCCTCATTACACATTACATCCATTTTAATTGATACTTTGACAAAAATAGCCAATTAATTCCATCTTATTCATAATAGGGAAGTTACGGTTTAACAAGAAGATATGGTTATTAGGTCACCATTTGTCTGGGTTTTATTTTTTTCCAATCCATCACATTTTGTTTTAAATTATTCATTGTAACTTTCAAACTAGCATATATATTAAGTGGTCATAAAATCAGTTTGTATATATATAACAAACTGTTTTTCTAGCAGAAATAAATTATTGCATTATAAATGTTGTTCAATGATATAAAGGTTTATATATTATAGAAAAAACTCTTTTCAAATCTATAAAGTGACAAATGGAACATTAAGGTCATTTTATTACATCCTCGATATCCAGGGGTTACGCTTACTTTCGCTCTCTGCACCCCTGGAATATGTCATAGCAAAATTGAAGGCACGAAGATAGCTGTTTGATTGGTCTCAAGTAAAAAAATATATGACCAATCGCTAGGCTGATACCTGTCCTTTGAAGATTACATAGGAGAGACGCCCGACTTCAAAGCCTGTCAATTTTTACTGTTACGTGACTGCGAGATTCTTTTGATGTATATCAAAGGATCGAACTAGTCTTCTTGTCTCATCAACAAGGTGGCGCACACAGAGCCTTCAAATTTGCTATGACAAATTCCAGGGGTGCAGAGAGCGAAAGTGAGCGTAACCCCTGGTTTTCAAGGATGATTTTATTATAACGAGCTATACGTTCTAATGTTGAAAAATGTACAAACATTGGGAAGAAACTTGTTCTTAACTTACAGTTAATGTGATACTGTGATTATCAATGTGTGTTAGGTACTCACCATGACCTTCGAACCCTATGGGGGCGGGGGCGGGGGCGGGGCCGGGGCCGGATGGATCCTTCTCCATTACTGGATATAGGCTACCTTCATTCGGATCAGGACTCACACCTGGGAAAATAAAAACATTAAATGATACACTGTACTGTTATTACTAGGTTGTGACATTGTGGTGCTGTTAACATAGAAATTGAAACGATAAAATCAGGCGATAGATCACTGTAATGATATACTCATTTCCCATTTCTTAAGAATAACACATATATTTAATCTAATATTTATTTTTGTGGTTTTTGTTTGATAAATAAACATTGTTTTAAAGCTTATGCAGTACATCTAAATTATACAGTAATACCTTGTTATACTGCCATTGTTTGTCTAAAGAAAATTTGGCAATATGAAGGGGTTTGGCGATAAAATTAGAGAAATGTATAGAGGAATTCTTAAGAAAATGGGAAAAAGGGACATTGAAATATGTTGGCAGTTTTATAACGAGGTGGCAAATGAAATGAGGGGCATTATAGTGAGGTTTTACTGTATATTTTAAATGTTAATGTTCAAAATATTTAAAACTTATACAACATAGATATATAAGTGCGGTTTATGAACTAAGACAAGTCTAGTTTTGTCATGCGCTATACTGGTTTCTATATATATATATATGTAAGTAAAATACGAGCGCTGATTGGTCAGTCCAGACACGTGATTGGTCAAGCAAGTGTACGAGCGCTGATTGGTCAGTCTGGTCACGTGAGTGGTCACAGTTTTCAGCAACTTTCAGCATCTCAGAGTTTATTTTTGCGCCAACAAAATTTGCTATTTTTATATGAAATTTCTGACGTATTTCAACTTCTTTGCTGCTCCCATGGATGTTTTATAAAAGGTGACATATTAATTTTAACTTTTAGTAGTTTTGTGAGTCTTTACATAAGACAAACTGGTTTGATTCGTGATGAAGAGACAGTGTCGACTTTTCTGATTTCGGACAATGGCTACTCGGGGAAAACGATCGAGATCGATCAGTACATCGTACGACATGGAAAACCCAAGTAACTGGACAGTTGGCATTTATAGACAGAAATTACAGGAAATTGGGATATGGACACCGGCATCAATGTCCAAGGCAAATTTAAAAGTGTTGTACTGCGAGAACATGAAGCGACAGGCCCAAACAGTTCAGACAGCGGCAGACCAAGTTCAAGGAGATATTTCGGGATCTATTGACGGAAATGTGGAAAGTATACAACGAGGTAGATCTCGGACACGTCGCACAAGGTCGAATAGAACTGAAGTTCCTAGTGCTGGGAACGTGTCCAGTACGGACTTGGTTAGATCTACAAACTCGGGAATCTTCGCCAGACAGAGTTGCGCGCGCACCGCCAACAAACATGGCCGCTACCATACATCAACAAACCAACGTGGTGGAACAGTTGCAGACGACTATAAATTTGTTGCTGCAGCACGAGATCGAGCGTAGCTCAAAATCTGCTACCACTCCCACGAAATCAAGCGGCGGCCAGTAACCAAGTTAACACAGCAACAGGTGCGTACACGAACTTGTCATGTAATGGTATTTCGCCCGACAGTTTGCCCCGACTTGATCTCGTGTCAGAGACTGTAAAGAGACAGATACTCGAGGGAAGAGATGTAAATTTGGCCGCCCTATTGATCCCCGATTACGAGGTAGCCAGAGACAGAATAGTGCATACAGCGGGGGTACAATTTAACATCAAGAACCCAGTTCACCCACGTTCAAATAAAACACTCACAATCAGAGAGTTTATCAACGCTTTTGGAAAGTTTAAAAGGATTATGTGTTCCAGATACCCAAACCGTCGAGAGGAATTAGATCACTATGAGGCGAACATCATAGAGATTTACAACTTGTATGGGGCTAAGTTCTACGAGTACCATAAACTTTTTTCTGCAAGAAGTGCCTTTGCTTTACACCAATTGAGCTCGAAGGTGAACTGGTCGTTGAAGGACAACAACCTACTGGCCATGCTCATGGCAGGAGCTAAAACGTACGCCTGCTCGTGCGGGGGCGAGTTCTCACACTGCAGATTTCTGTCCTGCCCTACTCGGCACACAGCCATACCAAAATAAATATGCGTCAACTAGTAATCGGCAGTATGACAAACCGTATTACAGAGGCAATCAGCAGGCCGTGCAAAACAATAGGGAAGTTGACAACAGATATTCTCAGCCGTCACTACACAAAGGGGGTGATGATAAACACGGAAGGTCAAGAGTGGTTATTGAGGGAATAGAACTGTGTAACAACTATAATAATGCCAGGTGTTTTCGGGCGTCATGTATTTACGGACATGCATGTAAAAACTGTCTAAATGGAGCACACCCGGCAGTGTCTTGTCCAAAGAACAAGAAGTGACTATCTTGTGACGACTTTGATCAACAAGCCTCAACACCTGTCAATGTGAACATGTTAAGACAAGAGTTAAGCAACCACCCAGATAGAAAATTTGTTGATTATCTCTGCACAGGGTTAGAACAAGGTTCTGACACTATGGTAAGAACTGACGATATGCCTAATAAAGAGTGTAAAAATCTAAGATCAGCCATGGATGAAACCGAGGCTGTTACAGAGTTGGTAGTGAAGGAAGTGAAGAAAGGGTTTCTAACGGGACCGTTCAATGTACCCCCTTTTGAGAAATTTCGAGTAAGTCCCATTGGTCTAGCTACAGAAAAATGCTCCGGCAAGAAACGACTTATCGTGGATTTATCTGCCCCACACGACGACACCAATAATCCTAGCGTAAATGAGATGATAGATAAGGAGGAATGTTCTCTCAGTTATGTTAGGATAGAGGATGCAGTCAAAATCATTCAAAGTATTGGACCGGAAACATTATGTGCAAAACGGACATAACAGACGCATTTAAATTAATACCTATTCATCCATCTCAATGGCATCTGTTTTGCATCAAGTGGGAAGATCAATATTATTTCTACAAGCGACTAGCGTTTGGATGCAGATCAAGTCCAAAAATTTTTGACACTCTTTCTACGGCGGTTTGTTGAATAGCAGAAAACAACTACCATATCGGGAACATTTTACATTTGCTGGATGATTTCCTAACAATCAATCCTCAATGCGTAGATGGACATCATACCATGAAAACTCTGAAATGTATTTTCGAACGATTGAACATCCCCCTGGCTGTACATAAAACTGAGGGGCCAAGCCGTGTCATTGAATATTTAGGAATTATTTTGGATTCCAAAAACATGGAAGTCAGATTGCCTAGGAATAAGCTAGAGAGAATGTTAGGTATGATCCAGGAGTTTCAAGGGAAAGAGTCATCAACAAAATCGGGTCAAATCTTGAAGAGTAGTTTACATACACCACAGCTGTTATGACCCTTTAGCCCAAAAATTAGTATTAATTGTTTCATAAAATTCATGTGTTAATTTCATTCGTAATCTGCCTTCGAGTCTTTTGTTCATAAATTAAAACTTATATAACATAGATATATAAGTGCGGTTTATGAACTAAGACAAGTCTAGTTTTGTCATGCGCTATACTGGTTACTATATATATATATATGTAAGTAAAATACGAGTGCTGATTGGTCAGTCGAGACACGTGATTGGTCAAGCAAGTGTACGAGCCCTGATTGGTCAGTCTGGTCACGTGAGTGGTCACAGTTTTCAGCAACTTTCAGCATCTCGGAGTTTATTTTTGCGCCAACAAAATTTGCTATTCCGCCACCGTCCCCACCACACGACCATTGCAGGTGATGCCTAGGGTTATATCAGCTGTTTGACTAAGGCTTTTTAAGTGAGTAAACACTTGCCAGCTGTTTGCGAGCATTATACCGGATAAATCGTACCTGCCCCCTTCCTTATCAAGGGAGTTAGGGCGAGGCACCCCGCTCTGCAGCAAATTTGATCAGGGGGTAACTTACCTTATAGATACATTCTTAACTTCTAGACTATACGTACAGGGCATTTTACATCATTATGTAATTCGTAAGTCCCCCAAGAATTTCATTCATGCTAAAAATACGTATACAGTGCTTCCTTAAAGTCACTTGGCTCGGCCATCTACAAATGATATGCACACCTTGATTTTATTATGCCTAACAGATGGCCGGGTCAAGTCTTGAAGAGTAGTTTACATACACCATTTAATAAAATTCATGTGATAATTTTATTCATAATCTGCCTTCGAGTCTTTTGTTCATAAATCAAAAGATAATCTAAACTCAATGTAAACATCAACATAGATTTTGTGTCCTGATATCGCCTACCCTGATGTCTTTTCTTTTTTTTTAAATAAAATCACTTGTTTTAAACTTGAACACTGCGACCTACTTTTTAAATGTAGATTATATTAACCATATCACCAGAAAGAATTCATTGTACCTAAAATAGCAATTCATGTATTTTTTAACAAGAGGCCAATGGGCCTTAACGGTCACCTGATATATTTATACAGAGAGTTGATTTTGTTTTTAACATGAACAGAAATATTATTCAAAGTGACAAAAAACAACAAGAGGCCCAGAGGGCCTGTATCGCTCACCTGGATACCTAAGCAATCATGGCAAAATATTCTCCAAATGAGATCCAAGGGAATATGCCAGACCTCAAGGCCAATCCTTGTAGCATATCTGTATTTGATTTTTTATGCCCAGCAATTTTATGTATGGTTATGGGGTGGGGATCTCAACTGTTTCCAAGCTGTGACTCAGAAACTAGGTCCTAGGGTTGTGGCCAGACCCCAGGATAAATTCTAATATCATGACTGCATTTGTCTCTTTTTGCCCAGCATTTGTATATATAGTTTTGGGGTGGGGATCTCAACCGTTTCAAAGTTATGACCCAGGGGTTATGTCTGCAAGGGTGGGGCAGACCCTTGGATCAATTCTAATACCATGAATGCATTCGTCTCTTTATGCCCAACAATTGTATATAAAGTTTTGTGGTGGGGATCTTAACCGCTTCAAAGTTTATTATGATCCAGGGGTTAAGTCTCCAAGGGTGGGGCTAGACCCTAGGGCCATCCTGGAAGCAAATGTGCATTCCTCTCGTTATACTCAGCAATTGTATAAATGGTAATATGGTGGGGATCTCAACCATTTCCA